CCCAATATTTCATTGCACAACAGTTGTTGGGATGCTGTCACAGGCTCTTTAAGTACTTGAGTAAATGTACTTAGATACTTCCTGTGTCACATGCGGAGACGTGCTGTGGGCGTGTTTGTGTTGTTTACTAACAAGACTATCATGGCGGCGGCGGAGCTCAAGTCTAGTTTCTCCACCTGGAGATATTCTCACTATTTCACTTTTGTCGAGCACAAAGAAAAGAACGTTTTAGTTCAATGTAAGTTGTGTCTTGGCGGGTCAAAGATCCGATCTACTGCCCAAACCAGTAATTAAAATCTTTTAAAACATCTGCAAAAACAACATGCTGGGACGAAGCTAGTAGCTAAGACCACAGAGACTCAGCCGACGCCACTCCACCTCCACCTAAGCAACAGCGGCTGGATTTTAACCAAGGGACTGCTGGCCAGGGAAAAGTCGATAAAGCCATTGCACGGTATGTTGTAGAACACATGCAGGCTATTGCTACAGTGGAGTCACCCGCTTTCAGGGAGCTAGTTAGCATGATAGCATGTCAGGGCGGCACACGGCATATGGGACTGAAAACCTTTTCCAACTACCTGGAGAAAGAATATACAAAAATGGAAAGCCAGCTAATATCGATGCAATCCAGATTGCATATAATGCATGTGAAGTTGATCAACAGATTGTATTATTCTCCAATGCAATAACAGTACTCAGTGGTGTAGTGGGGATTTTTTTACTGGGGGGACGCTATTTTAATTAGGTCATCCCAAACAATGCCACACAAGTGCGCATGCGCGCAGTGCACTCACAAAACGGGCAGACAGGTCCACAGAAACTACCAGTATGTAGTCCTACTTTAGTTACTGTACTGCAAAAAGCAGACGGCGCTGCGCTCAACACACACACAGACTCAAAACCATGGACACACTGGCACATAAGTTACATAAACAATTTATAGGCCTAAATTGCATAAGCTACAGTATTGCAACTAAGCAGACAGTGCTGCTTCTCTCTCTATCTCTCCACTTTCAACTTTAAATCTATTTAAAACTCATAACAAACAAACAAACAAAATGTCCAAAGTTGTCCTGAAATTAACTTATTAAATAAACAAAACGAAAAATATAGCCATACTTATGCAAACAACATTGAATCTGGACTTGACATTATTCTGATTATAATTGCAAATAAGCAGACAGCGCTGCCGCGCTGCCACACACACACACACCTTGGGTTTTGAAGACTGATAAATCCTAAATGGAAGAACAAACTTTGCAGCCCAGTTTCCAAGCTTTGCAGTCTATCCACGGGTAAGCCTCTTGTTTCCTCCGCCACATCTCCTCCGTCCATACCTCTGGGAAAGGTGAGCTTGAGCTAGCTAGAGGAACGTTGCTAGCGCAGCTAACGTGCACGTTAGCTAGCATTATCCGTCTTTAGGCGGCTCTTCTGATGATGTATTACTAGCAGCTTCACTTGTAGCTTCGGTGCTAGCCTCTTTCTTCTTGTGAATTATATTCTTTTTAGAAAAGAAGTCAAGTAAAACATGTTAGCCTGCCATTATAGAGCTTTTTCGTTAGTGTTCTTGAGGGAAGGAGCTGCCGCAAAATCGGCGGGCGCGGCCTGCTGGCTCGCCGTGGGTGTGTCAGTGACCGCGGGGTCACGAGCGTGATGATGATGAATCATACTTTTTTAAGGAAATCATTTTTATTTTTTATTATAATTACTGTGAAATGTATTATGTTTTCGTCATTATTACAACAAATACACACTTGCAACTGATAACACTGGCAATGATTTTATATTTATTAGACTTAAAAAAAAGATCATGCTCCAAATAAGTGGGGGTACGGCGTACCCCCGCGTCCAACGCCCACTACACCACTGACAGTACTGAAATGAAGGCTATAAGGGCATTAATGGGATAAAAAAAATTCAAGTAACGAAAACTTTTCACAGTAACGCATTACTTTTGGGTGTAAGTAACTAGTAAAGTAACTGAGTTACTTTTGACATGAAGTAACTAGTAATGGTAACTAGTTACTGGTTTTCAGTAACTAGCACAACACTGCATATACTCCAATAAACAGATTATTAATTTGCTAGAAACATTTTAAGTCATCCCCTCACAAAGCCAGTTCCTAAAATATTTATTTAGGCGAATATTGTTTAAAAAAAAAAAATTGACAAAGCAAAGCGGTGCATCTAAAACAAAGACTGTTACATCATAATGACCACATCCAAACTCAGACGTCCGGTAAAATAGACTGAGCAATACAGGGGCGGACTGGCCATTGTGAATACCGGGAGTTTTCCCGGTGGGCCGGTGCTGTGCGTGGGCCGGAGGGCCAACAAAAGAAAACAAAAACAAAAAAATTCTACCAGCCCACATTTGTAAGTGTTCCGGCAGCCACTAACTTTGTTGTTGTTGTTTTGCTTACCTAAATCCTAACAGTATACAGCATGGCTATTCAATTGGCGGCCCGCGGGCCAAATCCGGCCCCGGGGTGATATTTACTGGCCCTTTGAGTATAATGTTAAAAAGTAATCAACATTTTTTTTTGGGCCAGAGTGCCTTTATTCCAGAGAGAGAGTTACATTGAGAGATAGAGGGGAAGACATTGCCTGAAAACTTTGGCGGGCTCGGGTTTCGAACCCACCTAGCTACTGTAGTGACAAAATAAATCAAATTAAATGATGTTGATGGTTAAATTAGCTTCACATGTAGGCCTACTGAGTTCTGAACTTGCCATTTAGATCTATAAAGGCCTTGGGGCTATGTTGTTTGATTGAATTAAACAATATATGCACTCCACTATGCTGTTGTAGTATTTACTGTATCTGAAGCTCTTAATATGATTGCTCATATTTCAAGCCATATTTTTCCCGGCCCCTTGCTTTGGAACATCAACCGGCCCCCATTCCAAACTAATTGAATAGCCCTGGTATACAGTATTGTAGCGAGCCCTGGGTTCAGAGGGAGGGGCTTGCATAGGGGAGGGGGGGGGGGGTTGGCAGGGAAACAGGGTTCAGGGGGAGTGGCTGCACCCGTAGGATAGAAAAGGGGGAAGTGGCGTCTGACTCAGAGGTCGCGCGGCTGTGGAGAAGAACCAAGCCCCCAGGAAGTGCGCCGGAATCTGATGAGAATATTCGTGCTGGTCAAACGGCGGTACTACACTTCCTTTAGGTTGCTGGGCCCGGAAACACTTTTTCCCATTGACTTACATTGGGAAAGAGTGGTCTGTAACTCGTTGGATAATTTTTTTTAAACTAAATAAACTACCCAGTATGAACGTTTGTATAGCCCTTATTAAAAACATTCGTTCAAGTTGTAAAAATGTGCTAATAACGTTATTCTGAGAGTTATTTCCCTCTGCATTATGAACGTGTATCTAACCCACGGGACCGCGCCGCCCGGCACGTTCATGTTACGTGTTCAGTACTACATGAGTTTCTCTTTACCCATGGATGCACAATAACAACGGACCATATCGCCTTACTGCCATCCCACGGAGCTGTAATAATGGATATATTGCACATGTTTGCTGTAATTCATCATTTGTAAAATATTATACTACATGGGCTGTATGATGTAAATCTTGTACCGTAAATGTTGTATTAAATAAAGTTAATATTACCGACGTAGATTAACATTCCTGTAGATTCTTATTGCACTTGCAATTGTTTTAGTTACTTGTGGGCTACTTAACATGAATAGTCACAGTTACTATCCTTTTACTCCATCACATTTAAAAAAGAAATAGGCTATTGTTATTTTAACTCCACCACAGTAATCCATCATCAGCTTGACTTTTTAGATAAAGTTTTAACTCATAACAGGCTTCAACATATACATTTTTATATATTACCAAGTGGTTTCATGTAGGCTACAACCCACACAAGTATCATGCTAAATGAAGCTCTGTTGCTTGGATATCACTCGATCCTGATGTCAGCGTAATATAAAAGTACATAACGATTGAGGTGTAATTTAGCATAATTTACTAGCTAGCCGCTAACTGCCGCCTCGTTAATATAAATCCAGTACCACGCTGTCATGAACGCACGGTGCTGTTACGTGTACGCAAATTCACGTGCTTAATGTGAACGAGCCTTTTGGGCGGCGTGGTTAAAGTTGCGCATGCTCTATGAGTGCACATACGGGTACTTCTCAGGCATGCCGGGTAATCTGTGACGTTTCGCTCTCTCAAAAGTTGGGCCATTTTGTCATCATGCGCCATTGAGCAACTCTCATAGGAATGAATGAGGCCCCGCCTCCCACGCTGTATCCAGTTATTATTATACATCCATGAGAAGAACGTGTTGCCCACATTCTGTTACTGAGTTTAGGCTAGTTAGCTAGCAGGTTTATTGTTTTGGGTGCAGTCACTTTTGCTTCCACTTGCGGTTCAAATAAATGTTGAAAGAAAAAGTAAATCTGTTTACAGTTCCGTTTCATATGGATGTTGAGAGATGTATCCATAGATTTAGTCCCTAATTTTGCTCTCAAAGTGCACCAGATTGATGCATTTAACTTCAACATTTAAAAAAAAAATCTTCAGGTGGTGAGGTCCATCACCTGCCCACACCCCCAGTCAAATTGTCCCACCCACATTGAGGATGTGTCAAGTCAGGCAAATTGGGTCCAAATGTTATTGCATCAATGATCTGTTAACATTAAAATCACTAAATATATGCTGTAACTATTTTTGCTCTAGGCAACTCAAGGGCTCAGGTAATGTGATTACTATATGAATAATGGTCCAAAATAACATTAAATGCATAGGGTTTTTTGTTAAGTAACATTCTATTCGTCGCCGGCCGGCCGGCCGATACATGGGCCTGTCTGTCAATTAATCCCCGGGCCACTTTTACCCCCAAGTCAGCCCCTGAGTACAGTGACAAACATTAACTGCTGGTGTTGAAATAAGAATGTTGGACAGTAATGTACAGCCACAGATAATATAGGAAATATACTGTATACAATATACTGCATAAATATGATTAGGTGGTCGCAGTTTACACAAATCAAACCATTTATTTTCTGTCCAAATATTAAAGATATAACAGAAATGTTCCACTGCAGCTCAACAAAGACATTGACAGATGTCATACAACTGCTCTGACAGACAATAAATTACAAAATAAATGCATCTAGCTCCTTCATAATAAGAAAGTGACTCATATTAAGATATCAAAATACATATAGTGCTCCCCTGTGTGTTTGTGTTTGCATAGACAGGGTCGGTTGGTATGGCTAATACCATAAGAAACAAATAATATGTCATCAAGACTACAAGCCCTAACATTAGAAAGTAAGACCTCTTGCATAGCCTTGAAAATGTAGAAACTTGTAGGCAACAGGTCAATGAAATGAATGGCATCATGTCTAGTCTTAATGTGATGCTGGAGATGTATCATTAAGACAAAAATACAAGTATTATTCCAAAGGGGTCACCACAAAAAGTCCCCAAACGACTGGATAAGGATTTAACTGTGGCAAAGGAAATCCAGCATTTATTTCTCTTCAGTGTTTCCCATATGTAAGGCACCAGAAGGTTTAGATGTTACAGTAACATCGCCCAGCCTGCAGGGTTCTCTAGCACCGAGACTCAGCATAGCCTTCATCCGTAGGAGGCCTCTTTTTTAGCTCGTAATAGCCTTCTTCATCCTCCGAGTCCTGGACAGACCAGAAAAAACAGACAGTCAGATGAAGCTTCACACAGACCCAGACAGAAAACAACTCCATTGGAAAGATCAATATTTCATAAACCCTCAAGTCCCGTAGACAGAACATGGAGGGCATGTAAAATTAAACGTGAAATGGATCTGGCAGACATGTCTCATTTAGTTATTTATGGGTTGCAAGACAGTGTCGTATAGTGAAATGTTCTCTACTGTACCATCATATATAGGTCACAGCATGAGGCCTTCTTTTCTTTGGGTGGAGGGTCGACGCCATACTCCTCTCTGATGAATGCAGAATGGACAGCAAAGATGGTTAGTCATTACAATTATAACACCTTTTTAAGGTTGTACTCTACATATGATCAAACGTATCAGATTATAGCTCGTCGTTTATTACAGATTAACCCAAAAAGGAGAAAAACAAGGATTTAAATGTTTTTTTACTCCGAAATGTTAGATATTTTCGGAATAGTGTCATCTAACTCTTGACAGGACAGACAGTACAATGATACTGCTTCAATTAAGGACATTTCACTGTAAAGAGGGTCTTCTTATTGTACATTTGGGAACTCCCAAATAAAGACAACAATGGTAAGGAAAAATAATTTTGGTGGTTCTGCAGACAAGACATAAAGCAAGACCACAATTTACTAATTTGTACACACTAGATTGAACTACTATCCTTATTTAATAAAATAACTTCCCACGGTTTAGTTAATTTGTTTTCTCAAGGTGCGTGTATGCAGAGAGCTCACCCTGCTGCAGTCTCTAAGTGGAGTGATCCAGGAGTGCGCTGTCAAGGCAATTACCCATGGCAGATCTGCTGGTTAAATATTGTGTAACCACCACAGTGTAAAATAACTACAGAATCACCCTGGGCTTGCACAAACATGTCATGTCTTTATGCCTTCTGCACATCAACAGGCGTGACATCAGTAACACGTCTCGGTCTATCTACTACTCTCTCGGGACCATATATGCCTGCCATTCTTTTACTGGTTGTCTCCACCTTAAACACGAGGTAACAGATGTGCATGACTCATCTTTTTTTAAACAATGCTGGCAAAAATGTACTCTGGAGCTCCACATTTCGCATTTTAATACAGGTAGATGTGTGGCTGTAGCGAGCCGGTGGACCGGGTAGAAATGATCGTATTCCTCTCAGGAAAAGTGTATACAGGTTTCCAAAGGTGCGAGTGTGTCCTGACGAACCGTTATTTAGGATGGAGACAGCCTGGCAGGAATAGACAGTCATAACAAGAGTGAGGGGTTTAAAGTAAGTATACACCTGTTGATGTATTTCAAATAATTAATCAACACGGCACTTTTATAAGCATATGGGGTTCTGTATTGTTTTTACAATACTCTGACGCTGGTTTCTCTATAGCTAATATCTGTAATTGGGACCCGACAGCGCACAACATCAGACTGCAGCAGAGTGTGCCGTGCCATCTTTCTTTATTAACACGAATTGTGTGCGCACAAATTAACTAAAACATTGGAACATGTTAATTATTGCGATGCCTCAAATCACTATCTTGGATGCACATATTAATAAAAAACATGGAAATTATTTAATTCAGTTGAGGAAAGAAATTACATATCCTCCGCACAAATTGGTTTCTGGCATTTTTTTCTCTCTGCTCCATAATCAATACACAATTAATAATTAATGTACAGAGCAAAATGATAGCCTTTTTTTTTATTATCAAAAACAAAGAAACTGGAGTTGTCCCTGAGTGTTTACATAATGTCCATGTCATTTTATGCAATCTGTTAAACATGTATGTACAGAGTAGCACAGGCATTTATCTTCCTGTATTCCCTCTGATTAAAGCCGCTATATGCTATTTAAACTGACTGCAAAACCGTTGGGGGAGCAACACTTCTACAAAACAAAAACTGTAGAACCCCAACCTAAACCTAACCCTAACCCTGTTTTCTACAACCAAAATCCAACCTGTTAACTTTAAAGGAAATTATTGTTTAACCTTCATTAAATTAGCAATTCAGCAGCATATTTATAACCATCAAAGCCTGCAATAACCATCATTACCCCCAGGGGACCCACAGCAGTGATTGGTTAAAGAAATCCACTCACCCCTCTGTGACCTCTATGGGCGATCTGTAGGCCTTCGATTGGTTGTGCTTTTTCTTGGGACACAGTATCCGAGCAATCAGAATGAGGGTGACGATGGTGGAGGGGAGGAGGACAAAAGCGAGGAGGACCGCAACATCAGAGAAGCGAATGCTGGCCGCTGTGGAGGAAGAGGGGAGGTCTTCAGAAACGCATTAACAAGTTGTTTGCATGACCACACGTGACGTCATGCAAAACCCACTTAGAAAAGCAGTATAGTAAAGACATGCACACCATATATAGCACATAGAATGAAGTAGTTCTACATATGTCCCTAGCACTTATAAGTAGTACAAAACTAAGACTATCATCAGTTTAAAATTCTCCTGATATGAATAGGTTAGCATTTGGGGAAAAATGAGTTTTCCCTTTTTTGGAGGGAGTTTGATGAGAATGTTGATACCACTCTCACGTCGGTGAATTGTAGCTGAAGCCAGCATCTGATTAGCATAGCTTAGCGTAAACAGTGAAACCAGAGGGCACCTCTAAAGCCCATTAGATATTGGGCTTTATCCTGAATGTTAAGTTGTACAAAAACAAACGATTGCTTCAAACAATCCATGTGGTCATGTATCTTTGAATAGTTTAATGGTTCCGAGTGTAATTATAGCTACAATTTTAGGACAGCAAGATCAGCAACATCAAGATCAGTCTTTAATAGTCAGGAACTTAGATCTGTTGAATTCAGTCCCTCCACTATAACATCCCTGACTCTAACAATCTCCAGTCTGTTGACAGCAACATGTGTGAGCCAATATAGCTAACATCATGACAGCTAATACAAACACCAACGAGATGTTTGGATGAGGCTGCTATCTAAAAAATATGTGCTGGGCAGTGGAAAATTAAACATCATCTCCTCAGCCACATCTCTGCATATACACACTATATGATTTATGTGAGAAAAGTCAAATCCAGATGCCTGAGGTGAAGTAAGGATAAGCAGTAAAAAGGATTTAAAATTAAACATATCTGAGAAGAGTAAAAGTTGAATACACATGGAAAAATCTAGATGGAGTCATAAGAGTCCATATTTTCTTAATGATATGTTACATGGATTTAATCAGTGTAATAGAAAAGTGTTAAGGGAATAATTCTCCTAGATATCCACCTGCCCTTTGACGTTTATGACCAACCCTGACGTCTGTTATCTCCCTTAAGGAAGGGGCTGCTTCAGCCATATGTTGTTGTTGTTACCAGTTTATGATCGGGCAACTCTCGGTCACAAATGGTTTATTGTTGTGGGTACGCTGGAACACTTCCTTCTTGGTGCTTGTGGACTACAAGGTGTGAAATCTTGGAGACCATAAGTGTCAGACGCAAGTAATTCAGTGTTCCCAGCTGTTTAGTCTATCTCCTCAAATATGTTGATTACTCTCTGTGAACCAGTTAAAAAAGGTATAGCGAGAGAGAGGCTCTTCTGAATTGACGTGGCAACTCTACCGTGAAGTCAGAACCTCTGACTCTTGGACTTGTTTTGTGAATCCTCCGGCCGAAGCTCCAAAATAAACCATCAGTGTTTGACATCAAAGCTCCAGGTCTCCCCCTGTCTCCTTCCTGAGTCGGTGACTCCCATTGCATTGCTACACAGAAGTTTCTCCCACAAAAAGTATTTTACTTATTTTAATATTATCCTTGTTTGATTCTTACTTTCTAATGTTTATCTCTATTAACTGGCTTTCATGTCTTTGCTAATCTTGGGAAAAGTCCTTATTAAGAAGATGTGTAGCGATGTTGTTAGTTACAATCTATGTGCACCACCAGTAGGACCTTCATCTTTGAACTTTGATGATGAACTGAGAACTTCCTGATACTGCCTCCCTAACTTCCAGAATGCTCGCTTCATTATCGCTAAGCTTAACTCCCCCTATCTCCTCTCTGTGTTTAAATATGCAACGCAAACTCTATTGGAGGAAGTCTAACAGTACAAAGCTAAATATGCAGTTAAAGAATTCTGACATTGTGTGAAGAAATGGGCCTGTTATTTGTTTGTATAAATGCACACTCTTACCTTTTGGTGTTACAGTGAGTACAGTGTATGAAGTAGGAGACCCGTGGACATCAGGAGGGTTTCTAACGGAGCACGTGTAGGTCCCATTATCATTTAACGTAGCATTGACCAGAGAGATGGAGGCTTCCCCACGCGCTGGGGTTCCCTCCCACCGGATGCGACCGGCAAACTGACCATCAGGCGGAAGAAACGCCCGTGAGGAGAAGTGGAAAAACTAGGGGGGGGGTCAAAGAAAAAACGTTTTATTGTGAGGTCAAATAGAGTGTATTAAAAATGTAATCTAAGTCTATAATTTGACAGGAGGAAAAAGAAAGAGGAGAGTTGTTTGGATAAGTACCATTAATTATTCATATCGTATCCACAGTCTCCTCTCATAGCAGCCTCACCTGACTGGCTCATAAACCGTTACTCAAAGATCTCTTGTTTTCTCCAGCACATAATAAGGATCATCACTCATCAATCTAACTTCATTTTCCCTCCTAAGGGAAATTATCTGCAGCAGCAGGTGGTTGGACAGATGGTGGGGGGACATTTTCTTCCCGCAATATTGTTGATAGCAGAGTGAAGAGGGCTGCCTGTTCAGTCTTAGAAACGAGAATAATAATCCCATCAAGCATAAGGCCGGGAAAATAATGTATGTGTCTTGTTGAGAGATAAAAATCTGAACTTGTGTGTGGTGTCTCCAAAACTGTTTTAGCTTAACATTAACAACATATTCTGTTTACAACAGAAACTCCATCTTGTGGTTACGCCCACATGAAGCTGACCCAGACCTCTCCACGACATGTTATCCGGTGAGTGAGTGTGTGGGTGGAGAAGGGGGGATGATGAACATGTGGAAATGCTACAGTTTGTGTTTGTCACAAAGTAAACTAAGAGAGAAGAGCTTGTGTGCAATATGTTAATATACAACGTTAGTCACCAGTAACCAGAAACTTGGACAGAACAAATCTCAAAGTGAAAACTATTGGCTCAAACAGGAAATTGACAAGTGATTTGGGGTAGGTGCAAGAGACAGAGGGGTTGATGGGGAATACATTCATCATTTGCATTTCGAACCATGCCGTTGCAGTGAACATGTTATGTTGATCCTTTAGAAAGATAAGTTAGTTACCTCAAGCAGGTCCCACCTTTATGGATGGTAATTTGTTTATTTAAAAAGTGCCTTGAGGGGTCTAAAGACAGAAAAAATGCAGTCTAAAATGCAGTCAATGTACCATATGGACAATAAAATAGACTCTCACATTAAGTTGAAGGAAAGTAATGTAATGTGAGTGGCCAGTCATTACTCTACCCACTTTGTCTTGTCCATGCTTTTATCTTCAGTAGACTGGACTACTTGCTTGGATACAAGCGGCCGAGATGGGTTTTCTCCGCAGGGTGGCTGGTGTCTCCCTTAGGGATAAGGTGAGAAGTTCGGTCATCAGGGAGGGACTCGGAGTTGAGCCGCTCCTCCTTCGCGTCGAAAGGAGCCAGTTGAGGTGGTTCGGGCACCTAGTTAGGATGCCACCTGGGCGCCTCCCTAGGGAGGTGTTCCAGGCACGTCCAGCTGGGAAGAGACCAAGGGGTAGACCTAGGACCAGGTGGAAGGATTATATCTCTTCGCTGGCCTGGGAGCGCCTTGGGATCCCCCAGTCAGAGCTGGTTGATGTCGCCAGGGAAAAGAAAGTTTGGGGCTCTCTGCTGGAACTGCTACCCCCGCGACCCGACCACGGATAAGCGGAAGAAGATGGATGGATGGATGGAGACTGGACTACTGCAATGGTGTCTTTACAGGTCTCACTAAAAAATATATTAGAAAGCTGCAGCTGATTCAGAACGCTGCTGCTCGAGTCCTCACTAACACTAAGAAAGTGGATCACATTGCCTTGCCTTGCCTTGTAGTGAGCTGTTGACTCCGATAAGGAACATGAAGACTTTAAGAGGCTTTCAGATTATGTGCAGGATAAGATCAGAGCTACATGGCCTTCATCTGTGTTCTCAAAGCCCAGCAGAGGGTGAGTTATTGATTTCCTCTACGAACACTGCAGATGTTTTTGCATCCAGCCATTTCATGCAGCTCCTTTCAAATTAGGGGATGCAGACACCAAAAAAAGCATTCGGTTGGGCATCTTTCTGGTAAATAAAAAGGACCCAAATTCTTCTTTAAATGCACAATGAAGGTCACATGATTTGCCTTTACCCTCTTCCCAACTGCTTCAATGTCTACATCTATACATGGTAGTTCCTGGATATTGAATTGTGGGCAGCAGTGAGAAAGCCAATGCCATTAAGTACGCCACACTGTGACTATCTTCACGTTCTACCAACAGAATCAACAGGTTTTTGCTAAACTTGCTATGTTTCAACATTTCAAGACATGCCACAGGATATTTATGTTATATCTAAATCAGGGGTTCTCAAAGTGCGGCCAATGGCGGCCCTCGGAAATATTCTGGCGGCCCGCGATAGTTAATGTGACACGCTGAAATGCATGCGTTATATTTTAATCCTCCATGGTTCGTATCTAGTAAGAATTAGAATGGAATTTAAGAATGGTAAAACTGCGCCCCCTGGGTTGTCATTCCTAAATTATGAATGACAGCTTGTGGAAAGTTTGCTAGACTACTGGTTGCATGGCAACTAGGCATATCGTGAGTTGCGGTTAAGCGGAAAATCTGTTGTAAGTTATCAGAATCAGAAACGGGAGTTAGCTAGCGATTTTAGTTAGTCACTGTCTGTAGATAACCCAACTTTGTGTCCTCTGCAAGTTCTTAATGTATACTGTATGTATAATCGGTTAGTACAATAAAGAAAGGATTTGTTTTGGAATTATTTTGTGTTCCGTTTTTTCTTGGGCGGCCCTCAATCCAATATTGGGTACCTAAATTGGCCCTCACTCATCAAAACTTTGAGAAACCCTGATCTAAATAAACAATAATATAAAGTACTTTGTGCGCTGAGCCTTTTATTCTAAATTTGAAACATTTTTCTCAGCCAAACTTTAAAAAAAAAAAATGTCTGACATGTTGCAATGAACATCATGTTATTTAGTATTTTCGTAATTAATATTACATGGCACTCAGGATGAATATCTATATCAACACCATTCCGAGTGATCGACTCCTCCTCAACAACTGCCAAGTTAATCACATTTTTCTACTCCCTATAAAAAAGCGTTCCAAGTCTCGTGCAATTAACTGTAGCCAATATCAAATGCCAAAATCTGCTCAATATTGGCAAGTAGTTATAAATATCAAGAATGAGATCAACGATACAAACGTAACAAACTTCCATAAAGTCCCCAATGTACAAGAAAGTTCCCTTTTGTATAGGTTGCTGGAATACTGTAAGTCTATATATAATTATGTATTATACATAGTGTACCTTAAACCTAAGCGGAGCATACTGAGACAAACAAATAGACAATTAAAGATAATGTAAATATAGACATCTAGGTTTGTATGTTATATACTGGGTATTAGCCTTGCTAAGCACCTTGAGATGAAGTTGTTTTTAAAGTGTGCTATATAAATGAAATGTATTATTATTAGTAAACTATCTGTACATTAAAATATGGAAGGAGGATGGAAATAATAATTATTTAATCCTGTAGAATCTGTGTTTGTATTATCAGGTCTCCACATAGGAATACAGTGTAAAGGATCTTAGTGTTAAAATCCTTTACAACTGTTTACCATGTAACGGTGCAGCCCTAAATCAAGATCATCCAACAAATGCATGCCTAGTTTGAAGAGGGTATTTTACAGCCTACTATCTAGGAACAATGTCAACATGGATAAGTGTGTATGGCCTTTTAATAAACTAAGGCAAAAAAGCAAACACTGAATCACTTTATTGTTTTACGACAGTGTGTCTGTGAGCTGCATTTCTCTGACTGACTGGCCTGGCTGATCATTTGATGACTTGGCAGAGCTCAGCCTACACAAAAGCAGATTCACCTATTTCTCAACAGTGAGCGCAGTCTGGAAACAAAGGTCATTTTAAGCCCATGACAGACTTTCATGACACAACACAGCCAAGGATATTGGACTATTAAACTGAGCCCAATTATTCTACAAATCTATAATATGATGATTTGGACAGAAGCCTCCACTTACTTGACAGATTTAGAAACAGTTCCTAAGTGAACTTACAGATCATCTTAACTGATATATTTGTAGCATTATTCAGCAGAATTCAACTCCTCTAATTACCATAAGCTTTCACAATTATTTGACTGAACATTCAACCTCTCTTCTCCAATCTACTAAATTAATTCTCATCAGGTCTGAGGTAATTATGCAAGTCACTGAAGCACTGCAGTTCAGATTGACACTAAAGCTTTGGCAGCAAAATTATATTTTCTGATGGCGCCTTTTACATGCTTATTCATGGTCTTTCCCAGTGTGATATACGACTGGGGACACACAGGCCAATCAAGCAGCCAAAAAGCCTAATGAAATTGGATGGAACGTAAATGAAGGCCAAGGAATAGAAATGAAAAACTTCCAGACTTGGTTCCTTCGATGGGCCATGTCAGAAATAATGCCACACAATATTTATCTGTGATAAAGTGAACAAACTTGTTGGGCTTGATCCAAGAAAATATGGGTTTGTATTACGTAGCAGTTGGCACAGCTTTTAACCACTACCTGTGCATCGTGCTGACTGCCAAACACAAACACCTCTCAATGTGTACTATGTACTTTTTTCTTCTTCTCCCCCTCCTACACACTTTTAGGCCAGACAACAGCATCTTAATGACTAAACCAACAGCACTCCATATCAGCGGAGCCACAAAACATTAGCCTCCACTTAACTCTGAGTGCTCCTATAGGAAATGATGGCATATAGGGTTGCAGCTACCACACTATGGATTCCCATGGTCCAAATGCAATTACATAGAACCACACTGGATGGCAATCTTCAAGTTACAATGGAACTCCTTAAATGATGTGGTGGATTTGTAGTGGATTGGTCACAGGGTGCAGGGTTAGAGGACTGAGTGCAATTATGGGTTGTGATGGATACATCTGAAAGCATTTCGAACAAGACCACGAGACCAACACATAGGAAGTTGGAGGTATTATGATAGCTGACCAGCTGAGAGGCAGTTAAAAGAGACAAAATATGTGTGGAAAGATAAGACTTGGACCTCGACAGTGATCTTGATAAATCAAACAAATTGGTACACACGGTATTTACATAGAAACCGAGACTAACCAGAGTTTTCTGCAGGATGCAGGTGTACATGTAGGTCGCAAATCAATGTTCACTCAAATACAGCTGGTCAAGAATGCAAATTAGGCAGTCAGATATTCAAACAAACAAGTCATGTTTGTACAGAAAGCGCATTTTGAAGACACATACAAGTACAATGAACACTGTCTGTGATCAAATAGTATACAGTATACATATCAGGTAAAACTGATAAGGGCTGAAACTAACAATTGTTTTCATTGTTGAACAGTCTCCAATGTGTCTCTTATCTTGATGAATTGTTTCATTATATAGTAAAATAAATTGTCAGAACATTTTTGTTCACTGTGACAAGTTTAAACAATCAATACCAACAATATGGTTAATCTTACTGTGCATTACTTCATGAAGCTTTTAAGTTGCATGACAGTCTGTTGCATTACATGTAGAGATTAAAAAATGGGACATGATGAAAGTATTTAAAACGGAAATTCCATGTATCAAGGTTTTTTGGAAGGAAGTGGTATAATTGGTTTTCTTTTTAATACAATTTCCCTTTGTGCCTCAAGTTAAGGTTTTTAAAAACTGTACACGATCAGTTTCTCTTTATGTGTTTAATTCATCTAGTGTAATTTGCTGCATTTTCTTTGCTGTTATACAATTTAACAGAATGGAACCAGTTTTAATTGGTTTGCTTAAAATGAACAAAACAATAGATTGACTATAATCATATTATCGAATTCCTAAAAAAAAATTGACTAATCGTTTCAGCTCTTTTTTTAGACAGTATTGTATCCAGTATAGCCACAGAAAGAAAGAAAAATATATAGATTTATAAATTAAAATATACTCACTGTCAGTGGCGGCCCTCCACTCTGGGGCCTATAAGACCAGTCCACAGTCATCTTACTGGTGGGCCTACTGGTGGAGGTGAAAGTGCAGGACAACGTGACGGTATCCCCTTTAGATGCATGGAGCTCTGCTGGTGTACTTACTGAGATGGAGGATACTAGAGAAGGGGCTGGAGGTAGAATGTCAGAAAAAGCAGAAGACACATGATGTTAGAGTGACACAGTGGACAAACATGACAACATTAAAAGAGAATATACTTTAAAATGGCCGATTCCGAGGATTCCAAAAAAAATGAGAAGAAGGGGATTGGAAGCGCAAAAGACAAAGAAAGGAGGAAACATTGTGTGTGACATTTACTCACTTACCATAGTCTAAATAGCAAATACAAATCCTGACAGCATCTACAACTATACAGAAATTGTGGTGGCATAAAAGTGTCAGCACAGCAAATTCCTCGTGATAGACAGTGAACTGAAACAGATTCTCACCAGCCTCTCTTGTTGCATCTGTCAGATTTGCTACACATCTGTCTACATTGTTTAAATAAAGCTATACCCTGTGGCTGTATGCGTTTCATTGTCATCACATCATGCAAAGGTTGAAAATAACCATGCAACAGTTCCAAAGTTTAAATGCCAACATTAAAGAAATATAACAAAAAGCAGTTGCAATTACCTGCAGCCAAAGCAATGTCTGCAACAAATTATACTCTCAACTTTCTCCATGAACACAAAGCTAAATACCGACAGCTTCTTTTCAGGGAAACCTTGAAATGTTTTGCAATGTTGAGTCATTAAATCAGTTGTTTTCATGGTTACGTGTTGGGTTCATTTGTATATTGCATAACAACTCTAATGTTGAATCTGAACATGCCAGGATAGCTTTTCTAGTACAAATTCCCCGAAAATGTATGAAGTAATTAAATCATCCCCCTCTACCTCATAAATGGCAGAATTGATGGCCGAAGTGCACATGTTGATGAATATATATCAGTTATTTATGCCATGATCCATTAGTCCAGTTTAACATTTGGAAACACCGTGGTTAACAGCCATGCAAGCGGATATGTTCGTATCTGCTGTGCTTAGAGCTAAATGTCAGCATATTGACATTGACAATGCTGACATGCTGATTTTTAGCAGATAATGTGTGTCACACCAATGGCAGCACTATAAATAATCAGGAGATCATCACTTAAATGTATGATCATGGGAACTTCACAATGTGTTGCAAAGGTAATTGCAATTCATCCAAAACCACACTCAAACCCAGAACTGGTCACCCATATAGCGGCATTAAAGGCAAAGCCAGTGGAGCACGTATACATCATTTGGTTCCCCTCTGAAATCAATGAATGTGTGTGTACTAAATAGAATGCCAATCTTCCATAGTAGGTATTACGCTTTTCACTGAATCAATGAAAACTGACCTGCCGTTGTAGCTGGAGAAACATTTGGTGAATCAACAAAGTAATTAAAATGTATTCTCTCTTCTAATATGATGTAGCAATTTCTACAGCAATCCATCCAACATTTGTTGAGACATTTCAGTCTGGGCCAACTCATAATGCCATCTCTATAGCCACACTGCTAGCTGAATGAAAACAAATAACCATTAAAAAACCATCACTGTTCCTTTGGCCTTTATCAAGAATACATCATGGAAAACCTGGCTTTATATTTGCATGGCAACACTCCATTTGTGACATTAATACACAGTTGTTTTGGGGGCATAATAAATAAAACAGGGCTATATTTTAAATAATTTTGCCTTTTCTCCAAGGAGCATCTATCAGCTGATGTGTCTGATCTTAGACTGACACCATCTGATACTGCAAACGCCTTGATAGGGACAAAATTCATCTTATACTAAATAATCTGCAAGATATCAGGTTTTCAGCTTGATTGATCTACAAAGGGTTGGCGACAGGAACATAGCCATCTCTTCATAAAAGTGAAAATCCAGCAGATTATCCTTGAAAGCTGAACCACTCTGGAATCAAAGAGGAGATAGAATTCATCTCAAAATCAGTGATGGGATGGAAAGGTGGTAGCTCATCAGTATTAGTGATGATGGTGGCACCTAGTTTCTGCAAGACGCCTGGACATTTAATAGAGAAAAAATGTAAAAAGTCAAAAGGAAGAGATAATGTTGTGATACATCCCTACAGTAGTTGTGGCCTTGGCAGGAGGAACTGGCAACATGAGTATATCCTGAGCTGGCAGGGCTCTGGGCACAAATGTAGCCAAACGTACAAGCATAATCAGATATCAGAAGACAAACCATAATGACACCAAACTGCTGCGACATGTGTATGTAGCCTATATTCTGATAAAGTTACACAGCAGCTTTAGCAGTATTTGTATTCCCTGAAAAACATGATAAATTAGGAGTGACCTAACAACTATACCCAAAGTTTAGAACCATGTTTGTAATATAATTGGCACAAAGACAATGCTCTTAATTTACTGCATACCAGTTGTCAGGATCCCTCTGAGCCTGGTTTTTACAATGGCCTGTTTCTGTATTTATAGTGGCAGCTATCCTAACATTTAGAATTAAGATTTAAAAAACAGACAAACGTTTATGACTTGAAATTTGAGGAAGAGATCACTACTGCAACTTCATGATAAGCTAATATAAATGACAAGTTCCTGGTAAATCAAGGCAAGTTTTTTTGAATCAATCTGCTCTGTGTCCATTTAAAATTAACATTATTTAGCTTTTGGGTGAGTCTGATGTATTCATGACTCAAGCAGCGGAATTGCCATAACCACCTACAAATAAAGCGTTGGCAGGCTGTGTGTTGTTTGATAGTGTTTACGGAGCTGACAAGTTGTGTTAACTTAGGCCTTAAAATTAAACGTGTAAGCAACTATTAAGTGTGTTAAGGTTACGGTTAGGGTAGTCAAACAGTACAAATGCCTTATTTCGACAAATAAAACAGCCACTAGCAGAACAAACACTAAGCCAAACGTAGACAAAAAGACAAGAGCTTCTCTGTGTTGTAACTAGTGTTGAAACACAGCGACATGAAAGCGGAGCCCTGGCCTGTTTACTCACCGTAAAAAACGACCAAATACAGCAACAAAATAAGGTTCAGAGCGGCATTCCTTGGCGAGGACGACGCATTTTAATATGTGAAAACGGGTTCACTTGCATGACGATGAAAAAAAGTCCAAGTTTCGTCAAACCCTCGGACAAATTCCGTCCATTATCTATCTTAGCATGAGTCAGTGTCTCCGTCGCGGCTGCACACTACGAGCTCACGTACCTGACAAACAGGTGTATCAGGAAGTGAATAATCGGGAGTGAAATAACACCAAGCCTATTTGTATGCTTACTCTGAGGGAGGATAAAAGTTGACATGTCGTAATACAATTTTCGAAGTGACTGACCAATGTGTTGGTGAATAATCTTTCGACTTGGCTACTTTAATACCCCATTGAAATAAAATACACTTAAAGGGAACAGCCATAAATGTGTCAAATCAATGTGTGTAGAAACACGCTTCCTTTTTGAAAAAAAAGTTCGTATCTTAACCTATGTCACCTGACAAATATATAGTGAATATGATAAGTCCCAAAGGAGACAGTGGGGGGGGGGTAATAATAAAAAATAACAACAAAAAAGTACTAACTAAGCCCTTCAGGAAATGTAAAGTCCTTACATGTAATTGGATTTTCGAGGAAGTGTATGTTTGATTTAAATTGGGTATTGGGGGTGGGGTTGATTAAAGTTGTGTTTGATTTTTGAATGAAGAAATTAAACTAATTCTGAAAATAATATTTGTGAGTTGGTTATAGTTAGCCTAACAAAATGATGATGATCATGAGAATGAGAGCATAGCATGGGACTGTAGATTAAACACAATCTTTGAAATGCATATGCTGTCAATCCAAAAATGTAATCATAGTGAAACCTGAACCATATTCTCTGCTCACATGTCAATTCTCTCTTATAACCCTTTGAGTTGAGGCCCAGTCTTCAGTCTTATCTCCCAGGCCAGCTATTCCATAAAACCACTGATGCTCTTGTGGGACCCTCCTGCTATTGTTAGGCATATTACTCCTCTATCCCAGTCCAATCTCCTGTCTTTACTGTTGTGATTATCTCTAATGGGAGAAGTTATTTGTTTTTCTAGCCTTTGCCATTTCAGTTTTACTCTGGTGTGCTTTATCTCTCCACTTCATGTTTATACAGTCCTTTTGAAGTTGAATTTGCCTTTTTTTGGTCTGGATTTGTACTTACATCTTTACTTCCATATGGTCTGCCAGGAGTGTTTCCTCCATCCTGACAACAGAGAAGCTGTAATATAGGCTGAGAATCATCAGCTACTCTGCGCCCTCAAATGCACTGTGTAGGCCAGGGCTATTCAATTGGCGGTCCGCGGGCCAAATCCGGCCCCGGGGTGATAGTTACTGGCCCTTTGAGTATAATGTTAAAAAGTAATCACATTTTGATTTTATTTTTTTCAAGATTTATTTATTTTTGGGCCAGAGTGCCTTTATTCCAGAGAGGGTGTTAAATTGAGAGATAGAGGGGAAGACATTGCCTGAAAACTTCGGTGGGCTCGGGTTTCGAACCCAGTATACTGTAGTGACAACTCCTGTCATTTATTGCATGTCTGCGTGAATTATTAGATAATTTCACCTAAATTAAATCAAATTCAATGATGTTGATGGTTAAATTAGCTTCACATGTAGGCCTACTGAGTTCTTAACTTGCCATTTAGATCTATAAAGGCCTTGGGGCTATGTTGTTTGATTGAATTAAACACAATATATGCACTTGTAGTATTTACTGTATCTGAAGCTCTTAATATGATTGCTCATCATTTCAAGCCATCTTTTTCCCGGCCCCTTGCTTTGGATAATTTTCATCAACCGGCCCCCATTCCAATAGTCCTGGTGTAGGCTATGTATCAGATATGTGTGACAATCTGATTCAGTGTCCACCAGAATGAAAAACCATATAGCGAGTTTTATTCACAAAAGCATGGCACCATAAGAAAACACTTTTCCTCAGCAAATAATACTGTATTCTCTGAAAAAAATCTAATTGGATAGCAAAATAGTTTCACGTATAGTTCATGAGTATTAGAAAAATGCATAATGTTCATGGTAAACATTGCACCCTAACTTGATTACCAACACATTTCCAAAGGCTCTGCAACAAGGGAATGTGAAAGAAAAATGGGTTCTCACAAAATGTGAATAACTGCCTGACTAACTTCTAATTTACTGCAGACCATGTACATCATTACTGTGAGAAAGGGCACGAACAGATGGAAACAGGCATAATAAAGAGGAAATGATGGTCAAATCCATGTTTTATTACCTCTTACAGACATTCAGCAATTTCTTAATAGAAGGGTGAAGCAATGTGCAAAGCTTTGTTGCTTCATGCTCTTACCTGGCTGTACTTTGTGTTTATGTTCGGCAACATTTATTGCAAATCTCTTTGGATGCTGGGAATTTAAAGGGAGTTGGCACAGGCTTGCTCCTCCCTGCATCCATTCACACAGCACAGTGTGTGTAATGTATCTGTTAACAATATTATTCAACATTTCCCACACTCAGGAAGGGATACCACTTCCTTTTTTGAAAACATGCTGAGTCAAAGGACTTACCTTACACGGGAGTGTTCACAAATTCTATATTTAGCAGTGTTGTATTGTGTGTAACTATATAATCTGCTGGAGTTTGATAGAGACTATCCATCCCATATTGGAAGACAACATCTAATGCCTCTTACCTGGGTACTTTCAAACACCCACACACATTGTGTTATGTATTGTGTGTGTGAATACAGGGGCTCTCTGTCTGGTTACAGTAGAGAGGTCTCAGTTTCAGCTGAAATCATCTCAGTCACAATGAAGGCTCACCCGACTTGATCTGGTCAACAACAGCCCTGTTCTTCTGTTGTCAACACTGGAGGGGACTAATACAGGTGATTTAAATTGTTGGGGCCAGAAGGTGAATGTAACCATTATCCTTCAGCCAAAAAATAGAGTATGAGAGTCTTTTTATTCATTTAAATGCACACTTTGCACTGAATAGTTGATGAACAGTTGTATCTTCAACTCTCCAATACACAGGGGGTATTTTAAAGGTTTCACATACAAATACACTTTTCTCATGGCTGTCACAGACAAGTATGACAGCCTAAAACTTGAGCCACTATCTATAGGAGGCCCTAATCTATTCAATACACTAGGGCAAATACCTTTAGATGTTATGGATCATGCGTATAGGTGTGTGTGTGGGGATGGGAGGACATCTGACAAGTCACAGTGTGACATTCCATCCTTTACTTACATGTGTGTAAAGTAATTAGTTTTGTAGCAACCTGTCATGGCAAGCCTGTGCGTTTGTGTATGAGCAAACAAGTGAGGGTGTGTTAGTATGTGTAAAGGTATTTAGTGTCTCTCCACAACACTGTGCCAGGTACAACCCATCCTAAGGTGTGGAATGCAGACTGAAAAGAGAGAGAGATGAAGCAAGACAGAAACTGAGTCCGAGAGGGAGTAAGACAGACTTAATTTCCTCATTAGTGAAGACTGCTCACAAGCTTTACTTCCTTTATAAAACAAACCCAGCATAGTCTATTCTTCAAAAAAATGATTAATGTGAATTGCAGTAATAAACTTGTTTGTGGTAGAGAATGGCTTATTAAGTGAGTCATGCACAAGGAATGGTTGAGAACACCTTGCCCAGAGCATGGTTCGCAAAGCCTGGTATTATCATTAGATTTAACAGCAAGATAGATGGATATTGATGCTAAAAAGTATGTCCAAATTAAAAGTTTTCAGGCCATTGTGTAAGCAGAAGGAATGTGATGTGTTGGGAACAAGAGGTAATATCTGCCTGGTGTTCCAGATGATCGCTAAGCTGTGTCAAATGTTTATTTTCTCTTTATTTTCTACTTTGCCACCTTTTCATTTTGGAAACCCCCAGTGTTCTGTGTGTTGTACTGCATTCATCATGCAAAGATCTGATGATTAGATTATTCTATTTCTAGGCAGTGCTTCACATGTATTTGTCACATAAGTATCAGTTTTCCATATACTGTATGTTACTGTGTCATAATGTTTTTAAATTTAAGAGACTTGAATAATCCCTCACAAAATAAACCCTTCACATATTTATGTCCTCACACCACAATTGATTACTAGGGTGCCACATTAATTCGAGGCCAATGTCTAGGCTCTGCCAGAGTAATTAACAGCCACTTTGTTGAAACAAACAAGATTATCTCGAGACCCTACTGTTGTTTTATCTGTTCAATATTAGTGGCCTTTCTCTACAACAAAATGTAATTATTTAGCTTGGGTAAACAGACTTGGTTTTCCGCCCACCCTGTCTCTCTTTTTTCAAACGTTAGTCAACCATGCTCTGCCCTTCCTCTCTCTCACACTGACACACACACACACACACACACACACACACACACACACACACACACACACACACACACACACACACACACACACACACACACACTTTAGGTCTGTCACTCAGTAACTAAAGCTGCACCCACAGGAATAGACTTTGATCAATGCACACAAATAGGCCCACACTCACACTCACACAAAGACATAGGCTAACATATTCATAGTCATGAACAATCCCAACCAACAAACAAGCAAACCCAGACTGCAGTCACAGAAGCATTTTGGACCTGAAACTAATTAAATGATTCACTGCATTAGTGCTTACAGGTAAACAAAGGAAGGGCTCTGCAGAAAGACCAACTATAAAACACTCACAACTGAATGCAGTGCATCAAAGATAATGCTGCATAATAAATGATGGATCATAAGATTCCTCTCTTACATAATGGATGAGTTATATCAAATCTATCCACGTTATGTGCGATTATTTGTCCCATGAGCCAGCTAGAGTCAGCCAGGATCACCTTTGAGTGGTAACATTTTACTTGACCCATTAAAAAATGTAAAGGCATTTTAATTAGAAAATCGTTTTTATATAGCTCTATAACACACATACAGTGACATTTAAACGTTATAAAATACTTATGGCATTATCTAAAAAAAATAAAAACATTGCTCAGTATAACAACATAACATTTTGTCATAAAAAGAAAGAAATACAAGTGTTACTTTAATTTGTTAGTAGATGTGATGCATTCACAGATGTAAGGAGAAAAAACAGGGTCTCAAGGATACTTTGCAATCAAAGGGTTTTCAGATCTGACTGTGCACTCGCATAAACACCAAAAACAGGTGCTATGTTATCTGATCAAGTATTTGGCCTTCAGACCTGAAAGCAACATCACAGTTATGCTCTTTTATCCAAGTAGTCTAATAGGCCTACTGTTGGCAGATAAAACTACTTTTAACAAGTTATCTGGAACTGGCAGGTACGAGGATGGGTGTGGTTAACAGACTTTAATGCAAGACCTAATGTGTTGTGTAGGATATGGGGGGATTTATTAAGTATTTATAACCATGATTTTGATGGTGAAGAATGAGAATGAGTGCTTCATATGTTACACTGCCAGTTTTCAACAAACTAAACACTGACTCTAGAGAGGGCCTTTTGCATTTTTACTTTCCCTTACAAGAACGTAGTTTTTCTGAAACGCTTGGAAACGGATTTGTGAGCAGAGGGTTATCAATTGGATGCAATCGACAACCTCACCACTAGATGGCACTAAATTCTTCATACTGGTCTCCAAAGACTTAAAAGTCATATCCAAAAATAGTGCGCAAAATGGCACCTTCAAAAATGTCAAGGTCTTTATGTGACTCATCGTGGCAGAAAAACGTCATTCTTACTTCCTCCAGTTGCATGCTGCAGCTTATTTTGCTAGTGACTACCTAAACTTAGCACCAGCCATGTCTGAAACAACAGGGAGTCGTTGGCCTGTTTTCCCTTCAGGACAGTTGCCAAGCCAGCTTCATGATTTCTGGGCTCTCTTAAAAGTGAAGCTACTCTACTTTTGATCCTCTTTCAAAGCTTTGATCTTTATCGCTCTAATTTCTTTATTTTTATTCAGAAACTTTCAAACATAACTTTCTTTCCGTTTTCCTTCCATTCTTGAACAACTGGCTCATTTTTGACTCAGCAGAAGCGCTCTCTCCATCTATTCTCCAATCAGCAGAACCATGGTACGTAATCCACGGGTGCCATCTGGGCATCCAACCAGCGAGCCTCCTGGATAGTTGAAGTGTTTCTGTCGCACTGTTTTTCCCCACATCCTCAGTCGGAGTCGTCATCATCTTCCTCTTCGTCTGAGCTTGGGCCCTCACTCTCTGAGGAGCTGGGGTCTTTGGTGCTGGCTTCTGAAATCATGCCATCTGAACTGTCAATCTCCATGGACGTCTCTGATAGGTAGAGGTGGAGGGCCCTACCTGGATGGCTGGTGCATAAACGCAGATACAGCGGAAAGAGGGAGACATGCACCAGGGGGAGCAACAGAGCAGACACACACACATACACAGAGCAAGATATTAATTCATGCATGACACATCCATGAATTATTTATGGAAATGCATGTGCATAAGTCACAGAACGGGGACAGGACAAAGACAACACAAACACAGCACCAGGGACAATGGGTTAGGGGTCACACAGGGTTAGGTTGTTCTCATTTGGGAGAAAAGTCTAGATCGAAATCTTTGTTTACCCATCTGCATCTGATTGGGGTAAAACTATTTCCTTCCTTTGCCAAGTTTTTCAATCGAGGACTCGGTTTGAAGTCTGAATAAATCTGATCGACCAAGATGAGAGCAAAGTTGAAAAATGTTCTTTGAGGAGCTTGGCATTTAAAGTCTGGTTGAATCCAGTGAGTTTCAAAACAGTAACACAGTTTTGATAGTGATAGTTGGGATGCCTATTACAGAGAGATCTGAAAACCCAAGAGAAACAAAGAAGTGCCACATGCCCAGAACAAAAAAAGGTTTGACAAAAAGACTCATATCAGCTCATGTTTAAAACAGACAATTGGCCACAAGGTTTCTGCCCAATAAAAAACATTTGCCACTTGACAAAATAAAAAATTGATATTGGATTTGACTATGTTCTGGTACAATTTGTTATAAAGGCACTTTGTGAAATGTCTGTTTCCAACAAGGGCTTTTCATTAGGTTTTGGTTATTTGCACCATGATCATTTATCAGGGCAGAAACACAACAGATCACAGAAAACAGAGCAATGTAACTACAGTGAAACAGAACACAATATAGACCTGCATCCTTCTGTTGATTCAGAAAACCGCAGTCAAGTGGATCGGATTAACTGATACAAATCTTAGAAATGTATGACGTTTCAAAAGGTTTCTCAAAATCTTGTAATAAAAACAAAATGTCACTTGAGGTAAGAAAGCTGCTCATTCATTGTTCCACAGTTTCTATTGTTTCTTGAAACAATATATCAAACATGCAGCTTGTAAGGCATAATATGTTGGGGTTTGAAATGTATTAGTAGGGAAGTTAACAGCAGGAATAGACCATTGTTCGACCTCTACATCATCAAAACATTTACTCTAAACAGGAAATGTGTTAGGAAGCCCATTTAGCTGAGCAGAAAAACATGATAAAGAATGTGTTTCTTTTCAGAAATGAAAGGCACATGGTGATATCATAAAAGCTACACAGGTCTGGCTAAAGCTAGTGCTTCCTACACAAAGGCACATTCTCAATGTATCTCTGGTTTTTTAAAACTGTTCATAACCTAGTCCAGGTTTAGGATCCAAAGACTGGGGTTGCAGAGGAAGAAGGAAGTGAAACGTCCAGTGGGAAAAGAGCCCCAGGCCCTAAGAAGGAGCACCACACAACCTGATCCCCAGATTTAGATGGAGAGTGAGAGAGGAAGTGGATGATTCTTCTGTTCCTCTCTCTATCCCCTCATCCTCTCCCTCTGTCTTTCTCATGGTCTTACCACACAGTGGGGGTCTTTTCTCTCTCTTTGCGAGGAGCCTCCCTCGTTCCCTTCCAGCTGTCTCAGGTGGTTTCGTCTTGCACCGCCTGCAGGACACAAAGATGATGAGGAGGATGACCACAGCCGCGATACCGCCCCCCGATGGCTAACGCCAGAAGGAGAAGCTCGGAAAAAGAAGCTGGGGGTTGAGAAGGAATAACAGGAGGTAAAAACGGAGTCATTCTTGTTTGATAAGGCAGAAAGAAACAACACTGCATAGAGGTATTGTGCATTTGTAACGGTGTGTAAGCTGTTGCTAACCCAAAAGTGTATTTTAATTTCAGACTTAATGTTGTGGCTCTTAGGATGGTGAGTCACTCTGTCTTTCAGTGGGCAGACATTCAAGAATTGTGACTTTGGTGACCACCTGACCTTAACTTTAGTTCCACCATGGGATACATTATGGTAAAATATAAAAACATAATTGAAGGGATTGCCAATCAATTTTGTACAAACATTGAGGGTCCCCAGACAGGGCCGGCGTCATGGGCGGGCCCCATGGGGCCGGGCCCGCCCATCCAGGATTTGGGCCCGCCCATGAGAAATCAGGGCTGATTAAAAAAAATTATATAAAAATATTTTTTAATTGTTTGTATTATTATGTTTATTGTTGTTATTTGTAGGGCTTTGTCATACTATTTATTTTTGTATTAAACTATGTTGAAACATTAGTATAATATAATTGTTTTATTTTGCTATGAAATTCTGAATGAATCTCTGTGCGCGAGACTGGTTTTTCGCGGGGTTGAGTTGTGTGTTTTTTTTTTTTTAAATGAGACGCGTCACAGCAGCCTGTCAGTTTACTGTGGCGGTTAGTTTGGCTAGGCTATTATCCTTTTTTATATGTATCGGCAACAATGGATATTAGGAATTGGTTCACGAACAATAAGAGCTCACAAAGGATTGTGGCACTGACAAACTCAGCACCAGATGCTGGCAACTTGACGTGTCTCCCGCCACCTATTCCTTCTCCTCCACCAGGTCCCGAGTCAACGTGTCAGACGAAGCCTCTTCGGGGCCGGGCAGGAGCAGCAGTTCAACCTTTAGCAGCCCAGGCCCAGCTCCCATTCTAACGCTCGTGATCTTGGAGATTTTAGTTTTCTAGTTCCAGAGGACCTTGGCGTGGATACACCAAAACAGGTATTCCTGGATAGTTTCCCCCTCTCGGCTCTTCTCCGGGAAAAAACGTAGTTTTGCCAGCTCATGTACCAAAACCGACCCTGGCTTGAATACTCCGTAAAAGGCGATGCTGCGTACTGTTTCCCATGCAGAAAGTTTAAGGCTCATCATCATGACGCATCGTTCACCATAAAAGGCTTCAAAGACTGGAAGCATGCCTTACAAAAGGGCACGGGTCTTAGCAAACACAGCTCTTCCAAGGAACATTTAGTCTGTGAGAATTGTGGAGAGAAAAACAAATGTGCATCGAGACTGGTCAGGAAATCACAACTCTTGTCAACAAAGATCAGCTGGCTCGTAACAATATTACGTGGGCTCCATTATTGACATTGTGACTTTTCTCTCTACCAGCAATCTTCCTTTCCGAGGTGGACCACGACTCTTTAGAGTATATGTCCAAGTCTGGCAGTGGGTTATTTTTGTCATTGTTTGAGTATACCATCGAAAAGGACCCAGAACTCGCGAAAATTGCCCCCACCATTCCCAAAAATGCTACCTACATAAGCCATGATATACAAAACGAAATAATTGACCTGATGAGCAAAGTTGTAACGGAGCATATTGTTGAGGAAATAGGCGACTCCTTTTACACTGTCAAAATGGATGGAACCCGAGACCCAACAGGCTGTGAAAACATTTCAATTGTACTGCGTTTGTTGATGAGAACTATGTCATAAAAGAGAGGCTCTTGACAATCGCCACAGCAGTTGCAGGTGATGCAAAACCCTCACACAGACACTCATTGATGAAATACGCAAAGCTGGCCTGAGCACAGACAAAATTCTCAGCCAGGTATACGATGGAGCAAGTCTTATGTCGGGGAGACACGGTGGGGTTCAAAGACTCCTTCAAGATGAACTGGGCAGAGAAATCCCATATGTGCACTGCTTCAACCACCAGCTGCACTTGGTCGTTGTTCACGCCATGTCCGGTGAGAGAGCCATTGAGGATCTATTCAACATCTGTAATGTCCTCTACAAGTTCACACGAAAGCCCACCATTGCTGCACATTACCAGGGAAACACGCTGAAGCGTTTACTCGAACAGCGCTGGACAGGGCACCTGGCCACTGTTCAGATTATTCTGAAATCTTTTCAGGATATAGTGGAACTACTACGACACGTTGAAAACTCTGCATCATTTCCAGCTGACTTGAGGATGGAGGCAGCAGGCTTGCTGAGCAGAATTTTAAAGCTTTAAATTCCACACCCAGATAATATGCAAGATATTGTCCCTGCTTGAGCCAGCTAACAGGATGATGCAGTCAGAGGAAATGGACCTTCAAACGGCAGTACAGCTTGTCAAACACTGCCAAAGAGTGTGTTGAGGCCCTGCGCACCGAAAAGGTGTTCACGGAGATGTGGAGTGAGTGCGCACAGGAGAGAGCGGATGATACTATCCATCCCGGTCCCACCAAGAGAAGGCGAACTCTTAACACAACTTTGGAGGATTATGTTGTTGAAGAGACAGTGGGAGTGGGAACACAAGAAAACCACCAGATGACAGAGAAACGGCGGCTGTTTTACAGCTGCATTGATGCAGTTACGGGAGAAATTGCGCGCCGCTTTGGAGAGCGAAACAGCGCATTCATGGAGGCTATTGCTTCACTCAACCCGGAAAGCAGCTTCTTCCTGGAGCCCGAAAAAGTGGAACCTTTGCTTAAAACTGACTGGAACCACGCTCGTTGATGCTGAGTTCATTGTGGCCAAAAAGCTGATTCTGAAATACGTGGACAGCATCACACCACCAGAGGATGGGAAATGGACATTGAAAAACATACTTGGTCATCTCCACACGACGCTTGAGGCAATGCCAAGTGTTCTCACCGCATTTAAGGTTTCACTTACCTTTGGAGCTTCGACAGCTTTATGTGAGAACTCTTTTTCCACACTGAAAAACGTTTTCAGTGAGCACCGAAGGAGCATGTCTCACACTCGGAAAGCAAATGTAATCCAACTTGGTTTCGAGAAGGACCTGACAAAAAAATGCAAGAATGAGTGGAAAGAGATGTTGCTGAGGAGGTTCCATTCATCTGGGAAACGTCGGCTACAGCTTTATTAGGCCCACCCTGAGTACATCGTGTAAGTAGCAAACAATCATATCACGATGTAGACTAAGCCGTTGTTTTCAAGCTTTAATGTGAACAAAATATTGGGTATTTTTCAGTGTGTTCTTTTCACTGTATGTTTGCCAATATATTTGTTATTTGTTATTTGTTTAATTCCACTTCTTTACGCCAAGAGACACACCTCTGCTTTAAAGTAGTTCGTGCAAACTGATGTTTAACATGTAATTTCCTCCTGATGCTCATCCTCTGAAATTAAAATACATTTGCATATTATATTTGTATATTTTCTGGCAGTATTCTGTTTTTTGCTGCATAACTAAAGCCGTCTGATATTCTATTAAATCTTTAAATGTTAACAGCCTTGACTCAATACATTGTTTTTTCTTAGTACATTATGCAACATTCTCACAGCTTTTTTCTGTAATGTAATTCAATGTTTTAAATTACTCATAGGTAATCCATCCATGGTGCTGAAGTAGCGTTATTTTTGTGCCTCTATCCTGAGCACATGTGTACATTTCCTATGCTCAAAAGGTTTCATTGCGTGCACAAACATAACGCCTAAATCTGTCTGCAACTATATATGCACATATGTTACGTTCAAATGGGGTGGGGCCTGGTGGTCGGGGGGTGGGCCCGCCCAGGTAAATCAAATGCCCGCCCAGAGACGTATGTCTGCCGCCGGGTCTGTCCCCAGAGGATGAATCCTAGCCATGAGTTGAGCACCCTTAGCCCAACACACTCTCACTCCCTAAGCGTCCAGGAGCGACGTTTAGTCAGTGTCCGTGGCGTCCAGTTGTGACGCTCCTAGGCTCCTTCAGCGTCATAAAGGGACGCAAATAGCTTTCAACTGATTGCAATGTATTCCCATCTGCGGCGGGATTTGACGCTCATGGAAGCACAGCATTCGTTTGTGTCGGCTGCCCTTAAAGGCAATGTGAGCGTCCATTCCCATTGGATAACGGAGAATTGTACACCCGGAAGTAAGTATTCCTCTTACTGTCGATTGATTTTACAGTGATATCTGGCACTACTCATCGACTAAAAAACACCAGATTATCCTTGTTAATTACACAACATTGATTGGTTTAAATTGTGTACAATGCTTTTGTATTTTTCCCCTTCGATTCGGAGAAACAAATGTTTTTTCTGAGTAAAGGATGGCAGAAAACACTACACTACCCAGAATCCCCAGCTATCGTTTGGACTACACCATGTGCTCTGTTTGACAAACCCCGTGATAGTCCTCAAGCTCCTGTGATTGGAGAGTGTGCTCCGAGGGTTACGCCGATTCTCGAACAGCACTTGAAATGGGATGGAACCACGTCAGACTGTCCAAAACTGGATTTGAACGGGTCCACCGCGTCCCCACAACTACACATGCTGGCTATTCTGTTTCGCAACATGCTCTCTATCTATGGCACGTCTCTACTGGGAGTTGTAGTTTTAAAAGACGTTTTCGTATTTCCCATAATAAGAAGTTGCCAGTATTAAACTGTGTACATCCCTGGAGGTTTAGGGGATAGGAAACACTCAAATGTAAAACATATAATTAATAAATGGGTGAAAATTGCTTGTGCCCATAATGGGCAGCATTAATATATATATATACACACATGCCAGCTAAGGTCAGAAGAGCTTTATTTAACAGCTGGTCTTATGTTTTTGACCCCTCCTGTTGTTAATTGATAACATTACATTACATTAATTGATAAGCCTGAAACATGCACTTGTCAAGGTTCAGAGGCACATTTTGCAAATATGGCAGTAGCCATCGATCAGCTTAAGATAAGATATACTTTATTGATCCCAGGTTGGAAACATTTGCGTTACATCAGCATGTGTTACAGTTGTACATATGCAGTGGTGTTTATTTGTAAATCATTTAGTATAATGACACAAATTCTGTGTTTTATATTTAACAATTCTGTGTTCTTTATGTATTGATTGTTCAATACCTGACAAGGCCGGAGATCAAATATCTACATACATCTTATAAGAGTATAATACATGATGTATAATATCAGTTAAAATAAGTGCTTCAACATAGTTGACATTGCTGGAGGTATGCACAAATATTGATAGATGTCTTGTAATGCGCTATTGAGGAACCTGCGACCCAAGTTTTTCATTCAATGCAGAACTACACCATAGTTGTGTAGGCCTATATGATATGTCAATAAACCTTAGAAAATCTTGAAATCTTGAAAGGGATGTGCAAAATAGTAATTATATACAGTCTTTAGTGAACTATTAGTAGAGAATAACGAGTAATGAATATACTTTATAGGGATCCTATTAATATCTAATAATAAAAATAATGAAATTCAATAACATGCTTTAACCACTAGGTGTCCCTTTATATCAGCTGTGCACCTTTATGGTGTAAATACAGCCTATCTACCAATTGGATCAAATATAAAAGTCAGCCGAATTAGTGTTGATACTGCAAGGAGACGTATTGTGTGAAAAGAAATGTAAGATGTTGTTTAATTGCTGAAATATTTATGACCCACCTCACGTTTTCAGTTCCTCATGTTTGTCTAGAAGTCTTCTCATCAGGGCTCTATAAATAGAGAACTACGGCAGATATGTAATATTTAATGCAGCCGAACCGTGTATTACAATGCCGTTATGTGATGACTTTCAAAGAGAAAATCAAGCACACTCGGAATAAAGTATTATTTATTTATTTTTAAATGTTTTCGGTCTGTTTCCGGTATTTGTTAATGACGATGTGCTGTGAGATGTGAGACTGGAATTGCACAGGGGAAAATAACGTATCTTTAGATGCGGATTTTGTTAAACTAATATGTTTGCGCTGTGGACCAATACTATACATTGACGGGGAAGGGGGTAGCAATAAAGATAACACCATTAAACAGTTACACAACATAACAGAAATAATATCGATAGCAGCGTCCCTAGCAACCACCTTGGTAACAATGAAAACGTCGCGATTTCCTGAAGTAATCTTCGTAATAATTAGCAAACTAAAGATCATGTACATCCACTGCACACATAATCTGAAATAACAACTCATATTTCTCGCATCAAATGACATCAAAACGCATTTTAATGGCCAAACTAACTTTAAAATAGGCATTTTCCACCGAGAATAAAACGAAGTTCGGCCATGTTTTCTTTTTCTGCAGGGAGAAATTTGAACATCACGTGACATAGACGCCAGCCATTGGAATGAATGGTGAAAAAAAACGGGTTTGTCAAACAGAGCACATGGTGTAGTCCAAACGATAGCTGGGGATTCTGGGTAGTGTAGTGTCTTCTGCCATCCTTTACTCCGAAAAAATATTTGTTTCTCCGAATCGAAGGGGAAAAATACAAAAGCATTGCACACAATTTAAGCCAATCAATGTTGTGTAATTAACAAGGATAATCTGGTGTTTTTTAGTCGATGAGTAGTGCAGATATCACTGTAAAATCAATCGACAGTAAGGGGAATACTTACTTCCGGGTGTACAATTCTCCGTTATCCAATGGGAATGGACGCTCACATTGCCTTTAAGGGCAGCCGACACAAACGAATGCCGTGCTTCCATGAGCGTCAAATCCCGCCGCAGATGGGAATACATTGCAATCAGTTGAAAGCTATTTGCGTCCCTTTATGACGCTGAAGGAGCCTAGGAGCGTCACAACTGGACGCCACGGACACTGACCAAACGTCGCTCCTGGACGCTTAGGGAGTGAGAGTGTGTTGCTTAGCCATGTTGCTCTCCCTGAGGTTTCTGCCATTTTCCCCTTTAAACTGTGGGTTTTTCTCTGGAAGTTTTTCCTTGTACGAGGGTCTAAGGACAGAGGGTGTAATTTTCTCATACTGATATTCTGTGCAATCTGTGCTGTTGTATTTGTTGTAAAGTGTCTTTATTGTAAAGTATTTTTATTATATGTACAGCACGTTGGCTCGACCAAAAATCGTTTTAAAAATGTGCTATATAAATAAAACTTGATTTGAGTTAATATCCTTTCAGGGCCGGCAACAGGTCAAAGTTGATTTTTGGTACTAAATATACTTGTTTCTCCAAGTATCTATCCTACCGTATGAGGACAGGGGTTGTGAACAAAATGACTCATCGACTATTGGATGACTTGTAACCAAACGGTAAAAAGAGTCATGTCCCCCCCAGAGGATTATTTGCAACAACTCTCCTGTCTTTTCCTATAGTGCCATCATCAGGTCAAAATAACAAAAGTTATTTGAATTATTTGGTTCATGACTAGCGAGATAATTACATTCCCTTTAGCCTCAGCTGCACGTTGGGCTTAGCCCTAATTTGGAAACATAGCATTCTAAAACTCTGAACAATGGTGAACATGATATAACTGCTAAACATCAGCATGATATCATTGACATGTTGAGCATATTACAATGTAAATTTTAGCATTTTCATTTAGCTCACAGCATCACTTGGCCTACACACTAGCTTCACACAGTTGTTAGACCGTAGACTTTGTCTTGTTCACATATTGTTGTCTGCATCAATATTGATACATAAGAAAGGACAATGTATAATTATGTAGTCAATAGTTATACATCTCTGGGTATTGTGCTGTCGTCTCTTTTTTGGCTTAAATCCGTGAGAGCTGAAATTATGTTTTCAGACACACCATTATATTTATGTTTTTCATGTAAAAAAATAATTTTCTGACAAAAGTGCTGACCTGTGGTGACGACACGAAATCGAATCTCTCCAACCGTGCCGTGGACATCCGGCGGATTCTTAACCTGGCAGATGTAAGTACCATTGTAGGTGAACTTGACCTGTTGAAGAATGATGGAGGCGTCTCGGCCCATGACATCACCGGCCCAGCTGACACGCTTCCTGAAAATGCCTTCTAACGGAGGATATGGTTTCTGCTGGTAGTGGAACACCTACAAATGAAAATTGATTAGTAGAGAGACAGAGAGAGATGGATGTAATCCCAGACCTGCTGCATCTTTTTTATCTTTTCTCAATATTCATACACACATAGCACACACAGGCTGGCTTGGACGCTCTAGAGACTCGGATGACTCACAGATTCCTCTTTCAGTTAGCTGAGGGGGTGGATGTTCCCTGACACAACGACGAAAGTTCAATCTGACTTTTTCACACAAACACAAACATACATACACTCACCGACTGTTCTCTGCCTGGTTTCAGGGGTCTGAAGCTCCAGGAGATGACAATGGAATCGGGGTTGATGGAGGCGCTACTCTGAAATGTGCATTTTAAACGGACATCCGTCCCGTTAACTGCCTCCACATCCCCAGATGTGTATACATACATCCCGCTGACCTGCAGCATGCCTGCAACACACAAACATATGGCACAGCAGCAAAGTTTACTTCAGAAGCAGAATGCAGCGCGCACAGAGAAAATCAATACATAGATAAATGGTTTGTGGAACAAAAAAACTCAACAGAATAAATTCACTCTCATCAGAAAATTCCTGCATACAATGAACCCAGCGACCCTACCTCTGCCGACGCAGTGCTGCTGCAAGAACATCACTGACTCTAAGTTGTCACTACAACTTAATCAGACACTGATATCTCACAGATTGGTCCGAATGTTGAAAGTGCAAAATTAGATCCTGGGGTGATTCAGTAAGTGATCTCCTTTCAAACACCTGCTTCATTACATCCTGAAAAATCCTAAATGATTTCATATCAGTAGACCAAATCTGTGACATTTAATGAATAATGGCCACTTCACCTACACTACAGCAGCTGAGCCAGGGCTGAAATTGAAGGTCTGCTGTATGTTATATGGATGTGGACTATATCAATCTTTACAGTGGACCTATTAGATGGAAAATGAATGGACTGGAAGAGTGGAGAGGCCTATTGGCAACGATTTGGCTCTTCCACATAATGATGGATGGAGCTCCCCAGGATGGAGTTAGTGCTGACACACACATACACTGCACCAGCATACACATGTACTGTCTAGGAAAGAGACATGCTTAATGCTTACTGTAGTTCCTGTCTGGGAACTAGTCTCATCAGGAACCAGCCTCTCGTGCGTCTATCTCCAGGAGATTGCAGGGTCTTGTATTTTGAGGTAAGTCTAACCTTTTTCTAAATCAATCCAGTGAGTTTATATACGAGTCCCTGTAGAAGCGTCTGTGCAGGCTGTCTGGTTCCAAAATCACCTGGTCTATTTATAGAGAGAGCTCCATATAGGCTACCTTTAATAATATGAGGAGCCATGTCTAGCCATATTAAAGTCTATGCCCACACACACAGCAGAATATCCGTCTGCACAGCACAGTGTAGCCGAGACCTGTCCTAACGTCATTAGCTCATTCAAGGACCCCGCAGAACGAGCCAAACACCATCAGAGACACTTCAATCTGATAGAAAAGCTGCACGTGGCCCGATGGATCACCTGAGCGCAAACATCATCCCAGATCTCAGTTTAATATACAAGATCATTCATTTTTTCGCAGATGCAATTAGCAACATCATAAAGGGTTACGCTGTAGTCTGATGTACAATAGGGGAGATGTGACCTCCAGCTGTCTAGCATACTTGCAGCAGTTTCACAGTGATGAATATGATTAAGTTACATTTAAGGATTTTTTTATATTTTTAAAACTTAAGGGTGGATCAGGCTTAAAATGTGATTTTAGGTAGGTTTGCCTGATGAATGGTAGAATACTGTAAGTCTATAGGCATAGAAATAAGAAGGACGGTAAATTGAGACATGTAGCTTGCATTAGAATCATAGGGACCATTTATCCAGTAGCTAGCTGGGAAAATGTCAGCAGGAGCTTTGCACATGGAACAGCATGTTCTGTTCCTTATCAGGCTGGAGAGGGTTTCCTGATGGCTGGGATGAGAGAGTGTGGCGACCAGGCGGCCCCCGCACAGCATTACAAGTCGACAGGCTTCTCTCTCATCGCCAGGCCAGCACTCCAACAGCCTAATGTGTTTTAAATGAGCTCGATGAAACCTGGGAGGAGTGAACAATACACTCAGCGTACACACATAAGTGATGTCTGTCATTGCAAACGGTCTGGTGTGTTTGTTCACCAGACATGTAATTGTGTTTTTATTGAAATATAAAGAAAAATACAAATGTAGAAAGGATTTATAAAAGAAAGCACACACATACATTAATAACAGTTCTAAATGTATAATAATGCTTTGACGTACAGGCTTTAAAGGGAACACGCTTTCTCTGAACCTTTCTCTTTCTTCCTGAGCTACTGTACATGGCATAGTGTATGGAAATTCTGCAGCCAGAGGATTAAACTGCCTGTGTTTAGAATAATCATTAGGCAGATAACACCAATGCTGTCTGCATTAATACAGCCAGTAATAACCTCAGATAACGTCCTGACTTTGGTAATCTTCTGACTTTTTATTTAGTACCACGAGGTTGACATACTGAACTTAATGACCAAAAACCAATGAAATTCCCATCATCTTTATCTCTTATTAGATATATATAGCATCTTAAATGCTGAATTAAGACAGGGCACTTTTAATATACTTGCAAAAACAACTGTATGTTGACATTAGCATTTTGGCGATAGCACCGCTCATAGAGCCACAAGCTATAGCTGAAGCTGGGTTAGATTAGAGGGTGGGAAACCTCTTTAAAAAACATTATTCGTCTTCAAATAGGTACAAAAAGATCAAATCCATCTATTTCTACCACCTTATTTCAGAGGGTATAGTGCACAGAAGATTAGCTGAGCAATACAAAAACTGATGCTGAAATTATTCATCATTCTTCACAGAGAGGAAGCAGGTCCTCCAGGCCATAACACCTCATTTTCCAATTTCTTCTCTTAACCAATCTATTTACAGTACATGAATTTAAATAAGCGTCGCTAATCTCCTTTCAACAACAAAGGAGTAAAACGCTCTCGACTACGACGTCCTTTGATGCGAGCTGAGCTGATTAAGAATTAAGATTAATTAGGTTTTTTTAAAGGCAGGATGGGTATTAACAGAATGACAGAACACTTAGTTGTACAGTGCCTCAATTACAGTACTAATGTGTCCTTAAGGCTAAAAGTACATGATCACTGTTTCATTGTTCATTAACAAGCTCTAATTGCAGAGGAGGATGCATGCATTTTACATGAGTGAAGTGCACACTTTTACTCAGTTAGGGAAGTATAGAAGAGGGATAAACACGCAGAAATTAAAGAGTGAGCCTAAGTGATGAACAAGAGCAGAGTGATTTAGTAGATGAAGGAGTAAGTGCTTTATGGACGGAGTTAGAGGATAACAAGATGATGGAAAATGTATTTTTCTACATAATTGCAGTCTGTCCGAAGGAGATAAGATAACAGTTGTGGTTTATTGTTTGTCTGTCCATTCCTCTAATCCAACATGTCTCTCTACAAAGTCAAAGTAGCTCACTTGTTTATATCTGAACATCCTGCCCAGCCAACGCTGACCACACCCAGCATCCAGGGACACAGAGAGAGGGCCTTCACGGCTTACTAATGGCACATTTCCACTGCAGCGGGGTAGCCCCGTTTAAGCGTCCCTAAGATGGAGCTATGTAGGACGGAAGGGCCAAAGTGCAGACAAATATATACATTTATCCCAATTATGTTTCAATTTCTATGCTGACATTGTCTGGCATGTTATTTTGTGAAGAATACTTCCAAACAATGTTCAACTACGACATTCAAATGTTTAAGAGACGTGAGTTATGTCAATGAATGAAACATGTGAAGGATATAAATTACCCTCTTCATTTGTAATTAAAAAGACTAGATTATAGTCTTTGTGCTGACCCTCTCCTTCCTTACGTAATACTGCATTAAAGAGTTTTGCACATGGGATTTCACCTTGGCACAAACGTGTGTGTGTTTGTGCGCTTGTTTAGATATAAATTCCAGATGTTGTTATTTATGAACAGATATGGCATCAGTATAACTGGAAAATGTCGTAAAGTATTACCTCGCATTGTAATGCGTGTGTGTATCATCGTGTGTGTAGGTGTTTGTTTGTATGTGTGGTGTTTGGCTTTTCTCATGGATCTCTCTGTTGTTGGCACAAGTCCACACACAAATGTTCCATTAGATTTACCGGTGTTGGCATTAGTCCATAATATCTGTCAATATGTCCAATATATCACAGTAAAATGAACTTGCCGAACCTGTAATGCAGGTGATTCTGCCTGTCAACACTACTTGGTACAATCTGCACGGGTCCAGTGGATGTCTGAAGCCAAAGAGGGCACATACTTTCATCTACTGTATAATAATCAGCAGGACCCACTTGAGTGAGATTAGGTCTGCTTGGCTTGGCAATCAGCCCAAGATTGTAAAAAAGCTTTCAAAAGAAAGAAATATCAAGTAGTGTTTGACCTGCCCATATAATATTTCATCCAATGTCAAACAGTGAAGGCAGGTTTACAACTGCATAACCTCTACCATGCTTTATGGTGTCTTTAGACTGACTCTTTCAGTGGGTTATAGACTCTACTGAATGCATGAGTAGTGAATGTAATGTTAATCAGAATGAACTGAGAAAAAAGCCCCACCCTTTTCTGTCACTATGCCTATGCTTATGATAATGGTGGCTTTGAATCTTGTTTGAATAGTGGTTCCTTGATTCAAAACAAAGGTAGACAAAAGCACACTTCTAATAAAAACTGTCACTAGCAAATGTTATTAACTGTTGCTAGGCAGCTACCTAATTAAGCTAGTGATAGCTCCCAAAGATAAGTAGAACACTGTCGGCTAATTTCCTGTTTTATTCAAGCCAAAACCCTGAACAAAGGTCTTAATCAGATCAATTATAACATGCAAAACGGCTAAGCTAACTGGTCCCAGGTAAACAATGCAACCTACCCAATTAATGACCGATTGTTGAAGAAGTAATACATCAATGTTCTTATTTTGAGGTATAAAGCTAGTTGGAACAATTGTGTATCATATAATGCAAACCAAAGGAAATAGTTTACCTTCTAACTTTAAAAGAAAATACTTTGACTACCATATCTCAATTTTCTCATGATTTTTAAACTGTGTTTTTGACCTTAAAAGTAAGAAGCTAGTTAGCCAGTTAGCATGGCATGTTAGACCAGATAAATGCACTAATGCAATCTTAACAGTTTTGCCTTGGTTTTTCTTTTGCTTTAACTTTCTCATTGGATGAATTATTCTACTGAGTTAACTGTTGCCATAAAGGGCTTTTCAAAAAACGTAGCCTTTTCAGTGTGGTCTGGATGTGTTTCACAGAGGCATGCTCGGTGTATTGAACTCTTCTTCTAACTGTTCAGCAAACATTCTCTGGTATTCTAAATATGTTCGTTGAATATCTGCATGAAA